CCTCTCCCCTCTCCCCTCTCCCCTCTCCCCTCTCCCCTCTCCCATCTCCCCTCTCCCTCTCTCTCTTTCTCTGCCTCTATTACCCTCTTAACTCCCTCCCCATGCCCTGAATAAACTCTACTCTATACTATACTGTCCATGTGGCTGTGGCTGGTCCCTCAGGGGGAAGGGATGCCTCAGCATGGGCCCACTGAGACACCCCCTTCCCCCATACCTCACCATACCTCCATAGAACATACTCCCCCTTTATCTTTTTATAAACAAATCAATAGGCATGAAAATGTCATAATGAAACCCATTTTGTATACATAAAAGTTTAAGAAGCAATACATAAGTAACATGATTGGAATTCCGTAGTATTTATTACATTGTTGCTAGAGCTGTCCTTTAGCACAAGTCTTGCTCTTCTACAAGAGATCCCTGGACGACTAGGATGCACCAGCCAGGGCTGGGTAGTTGTTGACTGGACACACCAGAGAGGCTGCCACCAAAGTGATCCTTCAGGGTGCTGTGGGCTTGGTCTGGGATTATCTTCATTTTTATTGCTTCAGTGCTTCCCTGCAGGCGGGAGAACCAGGTTGTCTTCTTCCTTGGGGATCCTGCAGAGACAACAAATAACCCAGGAGCAGAGATGCTGCCAGTAACTAAGTGATCTGGAGAGCGCACTGAGGAGCAGGGAAAGGAAGTAGATCACACATCGGGGAGCTAAAACATAAGGTTTGTGATGAGGAAGCATTCATTTTTATAGACGACCTCCTAGGAGCTAGGCTCAGGGCTAATCTGCAAAATATTCAGTTTAAAGTTCCTGGGAAGATGTCCATGTGTAAGATAGGTAGTTCTGAATCTGAAAAGGGAGAGCCAGGAATAAAAATAGATATAATGGGGTTAGAGAGGTGGCTCAGTGATTAAGAGCACTTAGTGCTTTTACACAGCCACTGGATTCCATTCTCAGCTTGAAAGTGGAGCAGCTCAAAGGCCTACAAATCCAGCTCCACCCACCTGATGCCCTCAGGCACCTGCACTCTCACGAAGGTACCAACACACACACACACACACACACACACACACACACATTTTATTAAAAAATAAAATGAGGCTAGGCAGTGGTGGCTCACGCTTTTAATCCCAGCACTTGGGAGGCAGAGGCAGGCGGATTTCTGAGTTCAAGGCCAGCCTGGTCTACAGAGTGAGTTCCAGGACAGCCAGGGCTATACAGAGAAACCCTGTCTCGAAAAACAAAAAAACAAAAAAAAACAAAAAAAAAAAAAAAGAAGAAGAAGAAGGAAGGAAGGAGAAAAGGTGAAAAGAGAAGAGTCACAAGTTCAGGGCCATCCTCAACTACGTAATGAATTTAACACATTCCACTGCTTGTATTTCTAGTGACCGGTTTGCTTTTTTGTTTAATGACACGGTGTAGTTTACATCATTTTACAAGTAATCTGTATAAGATCCTTTAACATGGAAACCAGGTTTGATGGTTTACACATAAAATTCTCTCAGTCAAAAGGCTGAGACACTAAAGATGGCAGCAACTTTTTGAGACCAGCATGTACTATATAGCAGGAAATTGTCTCTCAGAAGGAAGCAGGAAGAGAATGTGTTGGGGAAGTCTCGGGAGAGCAGTGAGGATTTGGGACTGGATATGAACAAATACATTGTACACATGAATAAGAAACTGTCTAAGAGTAAATGTAAAAAGAGTCTTTGAAAAGGGTGCAGGGAGCCAGGTGGTCATGGCACACACCTTTAATCCCAGCACTCAGCAGGCAGAAGCAGATAAATCTCTGTGAGCTCAACAACAGCCTGGTCTACAGAGAGAGTACCAGGACAGCCAAGGCTACACAGAGAAACCTTGTCTTGAAAAAACAAAAGAAAAACAAACAGACAAACAAATAAAAATAAAGAGAGGATCCCACATTTGAAGGGAGAGGCAGGTGGATCTTTGTGAGTTGGAGGCCAGCCTGGTCTACAGATGAGTTCCAGGCCAGCTGGGAAGGATTACATAGTGAGACCCTTTCTTTTTTTTCTTTTTCTGT